GTACAAGGGAAATAATACCTATGAAGTGTGTAAAGATTGCGGACGCTCCTGTCTGCTTCAGGGGATAAATACTTTCTATTTTCTCTATCAAGATCCAGTTGAAGAGGAAATTCATACCGATCATTTATCTATAAATAAAAGCTGCATCAGAATTCAGAACTCACGGGCTTATCATTAAAGCAAAATATGAAAAAGAAAAAGAAAAATCTTCGAATCAGATCACCATCATAAAAACTGAAAGTATAACCATATAGTCCCCACTCCCCACAAGACACCCTCTCTTTTTTTTTGGAACCTGGTAATTTGAATACTAACCTTCACCATTGTGTCCCGCATAAAATCGTATTCAAATCTCTTCAGCTGAAGTTGAAGAACCGGAGGGAAGTCTATGAATAGAACACCTTTCTTCGCATCCTGAAACAATTAACATAAAGATCCTCCATGATAAGACTAGTTAAGTTAATTACATTCTCATGGTAATATTTACAGCCAAGCCAACCAGCTATAACTGATTAGCTTTGAAGAAAATAATGATTGGAGATGTACTTAAAATAGGAAACAGTTCCACACATCATGAAAACTTTCCACCCATAATAATATGAGGAAAGAAGACCGAACGATATTGCAGGAAACGGATACCAAAACAGAAACATTGTAAGTTACTTTATGCCCCAAAGAAAATGTTATGAGTAAAACATAGAACAGCCGACCTGCAAACCATGTCCTTCTGCATGGTATTTGTTGTCTCCTTCAAGGCGTTCAACTTCAACATACTTGTCAAAAGAAGCATAAACATCCTTGCAGCCTTTAACATCAAGCTGTAGATCTGTCATTGGAGAAGTGCATAGTTTAGAGCTGACTTCATGAAATAAAATAACAGAGATGGTGCACTATTTATAACAAGTTACCGTAAAACGATTCTTTTCGTGTGGATTTGTAATCTACATTAATGCACTCGATGTAATTCATATGATGGCCCTCAAATAACTGCTGTATTGTTCCCTCTACAACTGTTCCCTAGAATAAAAAGGAAAATGATCAGAACAGAATAACACCAACAGAGAAGCAACCAAAGGCCAAGCAGCGAAACACAAATTACCTTCATTTTGTCCTCAAGCTTTTCACAGAGAACACGGTTGAGTTCTTGGACATCATGTTGCATGAAAGAATCATATGTATCCCAACCAAACGACTTTGTCAGCTCCTTTGTGGCAACACTAGTGTCATTATATTGGAGTTTGTAAAACAAACTTTGGAGAGCCAATGGGATACTTGCTGTTGGGACATCGTTCTCAGTCGTCGGCATGTGGTAGACGGCCTACAAACATAGCTCAGAATTCAGATGTTTTTATTCAGAAATCAGTGAGAAGCGGCAGAATTATTCAGCAATCTGGATGACAGGAGATGCATTTCAACCTTTCTGAAGTAAGGTATATGGAATAGTGTCTGTAGGAGAGAATTCATGTAACAGGTTGCACCTTGATTCTTAAGCCCAACAAAACCAGTCTCCTTTTTTGAGTCATATGACCAATAATCATGGACCTTACGTACAGCAACTTCAGCTTCAACCACAACAGTATCATTCACTAGATATCCTCTACTAGGATCATAGAGTTCGCTGAGAGGCATGAATGACGTAAACCCCCAATCACTTTCTCTTGCATTGAATTGATGTTGAGTCTCTATGGCAACAACAAAAGTGGAATGTCAGTAACAAATAAGATTCGTTTATAGCATCGAAGGTGACTTGAACCGGAATATCTAGGCGGCCAGAAACCATGTAAATATTTATTGACAACATAGGAAGTAAAAAAAGAGTGTATAACAATTATTCTTGATTAGGCTTTTTCAGTTTGACCGTTACGGTAGAGAACAGCCAATGTCTCAAAAAGCAATATGCCCAATTCTCTCCAAAGATCTTCCGGTGTGTCCTCTCTTCAAGTTCAAGCCCAACATTTAAACTTTTAAAATTCAAAATATGCATTCAAATATGAGCCTATTCTAGATGGAAACAAACAATTATAAGTACCCTTTCTAATGGAATATTTGTTGTGGATTTGGTTGACTACAGTCAGACTGAATTGTGCATATCTACTCCACCCATATGGCAACGTCGCAGAATCGGCAACATCCAAGTACATGGACAAATGGTCAACATTGTTTCCTTTGGGGAAAATTAGTATTCGCCTGCAAGAAAAACACATTGCCACATCCCATGAAAACACATATTGGGCAAACAATCACCCCGAGAAAGTACATCACAACTGAATAGACTCAATTACCATTTGTAACCTCCAACGATAAATATGTCAGAGTAATGCTTCCTGGTGTTCAGCCTCGAAAAATTCGAGAAAGTCCAGGTGAATTTCAGAGAAGGAGGATCTTCAACAGGTTGGTTCTCAACAGTACTCACGGACTCGGTAGGTTGGGCAACTAAAAATGCATCAACACTTGGTAAGAAAGATCAAAAATCCAAAAAATAAAAAACCCTAGCACACTGAACCATCAATCCTACGCTATGGGCACTACAATCCGATACCCACGAGCTCTATACCATCAAATCCATCATATCGGAAGCAAAGAAGAGGAGAATTTAAGCAGCAGAGCACATTCAATAAAACCGACGGGTTTACCTTCCATGGGCTGAGGACCTTCGACCACATCCGAATGCGGCACGAGCATCTCCTCGTCCTCTTGCTGCGATATCCAAACAGAAACACGCAGAAATCAGACCTCTGAACAAGGGACAGTAAACCCTAATATCGCTCTCTCGGGATCAAACCCCGGCACAGGATTCACAATCACGAACACCCACCCATAAAAACAATCGCAGTAGTGTCCGACGATTCAAATAAGGAATCACAACCAAAAAAAAAAAAAGAATCCAAGAAAGTGAACCCTAGCGGATTAACTACAAGAAAGCGACAGAACAATCAGAAGCAGATTCATGTGGACACAAAAAGAGATGTCGCCAATGAAACATCGAAGACAAAAACAACAATGAATCGAAATTTACATCGAGCGGCGGCGGAGTCATGGTAGTCATTGGTCAGAGAGAGATTTGACGGACAGATCGAGAGAGACCGAGGAGCAGAGAAAATCAGAGGAGAAGAAGTGGAAGAAGAAAGGCAACGGGAGAAAAACAACTTCAGAGGAAATAAAGAAATTTGCTGCGACGACAAAAGCTGGGGCTTCTTATTTATCAGATAAATTGCAATTTGTCTGCAAACCCACCAGTATATATATATGTATATATGTATGTATGTGTGTGTGTGTGTGTGTGTGTTTTATTTTATAAAATAAAAAATACAAAAAACCCATACCTTGGCTTCTAAAATACCAGTTCACTTTAAATTAATTATACAAATTGAAATAGAAATAAAACGAATAACATATAATCACATATAAATGTAATGTTATATAATTTTATACAAAATTATTTATTTAAACATAATTAATAATTAGATGAGAGTAAAAAAATAATTGAATTAAAATAAAAACTATTTTAGAAAATTTATTTTTTAAATAACATTTGAATCTAAATTGAAATTTGATGTAAAATTTAAATAAATTTATTTTTTATGAAATTTAAAATATTTGAATGAAGAAATAATCCAAAAGACATTATAGTATCCAATAAAAATAGTAAAAAAGCAAAAGATGGCAATTATATCTAAGGGAACTAATTAATTTGTTTCATAACCAATTGGCGACTTTACTTTCGTTACCAATTGGGGACTTTACTTTATCTAATTAAAATAGATAAATATAGAAAATAAATATATATAGCATGAATTTGCATGTAAAATATAGATTATCAAAATTAATGTTGAATCTTTTTAACAGACACAACATGTATCATTTTTTTAATTCTTATTTCTTATATTTATCTAATTAAATAAGATAAATATAGAAAATATATATATAAATAGCGTGGATTTGCATGTGAACTATAGATTATCAAAATTAATTTTCAGTCATTTGTAATCAACATAATATGTATCATTTCTTAACGTTTCGAATATATATAAACATTATAACTTGATATTTTATTTTCACACTTCGAATTGGACCACATCAAAACATAAATACATATAAAATCAGGGAATATGTTTTTTAAATTAAATTAATCTAATTTAACATACTACTAAATAAAAATAAAAATAACCAAAAAATCGAACTGTCCAAACTTTTTAACTCATTTAAAATTTGGGTTCGCAGCCCATCCAATCTCTAGACACAAACTCTAAATCTTTATTATTTTTTTATATTTGTAGTTGTATGTGATTTTTTAAGTGTAATACTTTCCCCGAAAAGAACATATATCTATGGGAGGAGACACGATGTATATATGTGTCTTTTCTTTTAACATTCATAGTCTCTATAATTAAAAAACCTACAGATTAAAATTATAAGAAAAATAAAAAAGATTATTAGATTTCGAAAAACAATTTGGATTGAGATATCGTGTTTTTTATATCTCTATTAATAGGATTCATGATTACCGAAAAAAAGACAAACGGAGAATAAAGACATAATTTCACCAAGATATATTGGATTCGGGTTATACATTTTATTCGCGCAGTTCCTTCCAATAAACATACATTAATAGGATTTAACAAAAAAAACATACATTAATAGGAGATATGTTAAATCTAATTGGTTAGATTATTCAATTTTTTAAAATATCGAAGATTATATAAAAATGAGATTCAAATATTTTAAAATTTTATCATATCATGTTGAGATTATCATTTGATTCGCGAATTAGATCATTATTTTTTAAAACTCATGAACTAATAATTTGTGACAAATAAGACAATGTACAAGAAGCGCCTGTAGCTCAGTGGATAGAGCGTCTGTTTCCTAAGCAGAAGGTCGTAGGTTCGACCCCTACCTGGCGCGATGTTATTTTAGCAAAACGAAAATTGTCTTTTTGTCTTCCCCTTTTTTAATATATTTAGTTAAAAAATAATAAACAATAAAACCATAGAATCAGAGACACAAAGCCATAGAGGTAACCAAAAAAAAAAACGTTTAAAAAAAAAATACAAAGACAGAGATTTGAAGAAGAACAAGAAGAGACGAGTTCTGTCCTCTTATACATATACTATATTTATACTAAGATACATTCTCTTGGTATGTTGAAACCGTAACTGTTTTTATTAACACTGTTGTTGCCGAAACTCAACCTCTCTTGTCTCCATCCAACCCTCAGTAAATCATCATACCACATATTGCTTCTCTCCTCATCTCTCACAACCTTCCCATCACCGATTTCCCGAATTCAGATTCCGGATTTAAGGAGAGATCCGTGCCTACTGCCGTCCTTTTCGGGTGTTTGGTAATCTCCGGTTTCATTCAAACTCCGACTATCGTGTTGTACGTCCCGTAGACAGCGAAGACCAACCCGGATAGCACGATGAAAACATCTAAGCCTTTGTTCCACAGATTCAGCGATGGACCGAGCAATGTGAGGTGAAAAGAGGCGGGTAACACGAACGAGATCAATGCACAGAGAGTACTACCGACGAGGGATGCGAATGAACCGAATCCCGGAACGAATGAAGCCACAGTTGCTAACCCGACCACCAAGATTGTCCTTGTGAGGTATACCACACACCTACATAGCTTTGTCGTTGAATGTGTCCCGTCAGTGTACTGGTGCTTTTGAAACCACTCGGTTCTTTTCAGCTTCTGTTCTATGATCTCGTTAAGCGGGTGTACCATGATTGGGAATGTAAATGTCAATCCCACACACAGTCCAATCTGCTTATAAAAAAAGGAAGGAAGGATGAATTAATTTCATTTACATCATGAAAGACGATAAGATTCCAAATGTTATTTTCGATCCAAAAACAAATGAACCTCCAAGCAAAGGAAGAAGGTGTAAAAGCATAAGATGCTCTAACTAGTAGTTTGTTCACAGGCAAGCAAAGAAGCTATAATACTTCCTAGAAAAAATATATGAACGCAGATTGCGGATTAGTAAACCGAGAAGGTGGAAACATCAAAGAGATTAACCATAGACAGAAACAGAACACTAGCTAGAAACATTTTACGGGCTTCCTCGATCGAATTTTTATTTTAAGAGTAGAAGGTGATGGTTTGGAAATACATCATAATGCTATAAGAATAGCATACAACAAGTTGGGAGTATGTTTGCTGCAACAGCAGTTGCATCCTTGTTTAATAACGAACAGGACGATAAGCAAAGAATGAGAAATATAATAAGAAGGCATGAATTAGTAATGGTTATTACCTGCACGGCGATGGCAGACCAATTCTTGGGGAGGTTGAGTGTAATGATATCCATTGTCTGATCACCATATGCCATATACCCGCAGAACCCAAACAGCACATACACAAACGTTATCCCCGTAAGTACCTTAGCAAGCAACTTTGGAAACTCCTGTTTATCCCTCATAGAACTTTCCAGTGCCAATGTCATTGCAAACCCCTCGAAGCAAAAAACCGCCATCCCTCCAGCAAACGGTATACCTCCTACGTTAGACGCGATGGCTTTCCTATCACTAAATGAGAAGTCTCCCCCAAACACCTGCTCTACATTTTCTTTCACTACGAAACACATTGCTATAATGTTGCATATGTCTGCGAAGATGCTAAAGGGCGAAAGAGCTGACAAAGAACCCACCCACGACAGCGCGATCTCAATCGGGACAAGCATGAATATGAAAGAAACCATACTTATCCCATATGATTTGAAAATGGAAGACATGTTTCGGCCTATGAAAACTAAATATGCTATCGATCCGCCGCACTGAGCAGCGAAGATGAGGGTCTCGGTTAGGTACCGTCCCGTTTTCCCCATACACTTGAAACCCAAATCACCATACGTCTTTGTTTCTTCCGGTCCTTCATCGGATTCTAGCTTGTCCCTACATTGAATCTGCACGTGGAACAAACAGGAAGGATTTAAAATTTTGGAAATATCTTTAAACGGGAGCAGAAAATTCAGAAACATCGAGTGAATTTGATTCGGATTTGAATTCAGAAACCAAATATGCAACGCAATTCAAGAAAATCACGGATTCAGATATTATATGGAACATGTTCATAAACATCAAGTAAATTAGATTCGTATTCGATTTCAGAAACAAACATACGCCAAAATTCCAGGAAATTACGAACTAGTTCCGATACAAATCCGAGAAAATTCCATCGCCGGGTATACAAACACACCGAATACAAATTTCATCCAAACATAGAGGGAGAGGGAGAGAGAGCTAACAAGGAGGAGCATGCAGTAGTAGGTGGCGATTCCGACGATGACGACGCCGAGAGATCCGGCGAACCAACCGGCGACTCGGAATGCATAGGGGAGACCGAGGATACCGGTACCGACGATGGAAACGATGATGTTCCCCAACGTCTGTAGAGCCGATGCTCTTCCGCCGCCGCCGGCAGAAGATTTTAGCAGAGGAAGAGATGCGCCGGCGTCTGGAATCTCCATGACCACCGAGCTTTCCCTCTTGACTTTTCCTTTTTGTCGTTCTCTCTTTCGACGATTGAAATAGAGACGTGGGAAAGTACAACGCTTTCCATCCTTTTTAGCATGAACCCATGACGTGCCAGCGCACCACCGTTCCTATCCACCTCCCTCGCGTGCATACACGCGTCCAAATCCATTCTTTCTTACCATTTTCAATCATTATCTTGGGATGCTTTTGCTAAGGTAATTTATTGCCCCTGAAAGCGGCCTTATTGATCGTTAATTATTGAGATTTATTAATGATAAAATTTTAAAATTATTTTTTAAAATTATTTGATGAAAACTATTTGTAAAAAACACTTTGATCAAAATATCTTTTTCAAAAATCCAGATTCTGCAGTGTTCTTGCTCGATTTGCTCGTTCAGAAATGCAACTAGTGCAATTCATCTTTCGCCTGTGTTAACAAAAAAAAAAACAAGTGTTCAACAAAGCATGAAACAAAAACTAATCCGAAACCTGTTTGCATCACAAATTTACATTCCAAACCAAAATCTATGTTCTACATTTAGAAAAAGGAACAAAAACTGGTCTGAAAGCACTTCAAGTGTAGCATTTCCAAGAAGGATTGAGGCAATATGGGTGATACACGCAGCGTATAGCATGTATCAGCTTCCTTCTCGGCCCAACTGCTGATGCACCCATTTGCTTAAGCTTCTCCATTGTCAAATTCGCCACCTGAAACTTGGTAAGTCTCTTTCCCCTGAAGATCCTCTCAAGCTTTTCCCCCAGCCCTATCGAGGCAAGCCATTCATCCAACCCACCCACTTTCTCGATCTTCCTCTCCAGGGTTTTCGCTCTCAGCCTCTGCTTTAGCAACGCGTTGTCGTTGCCCTCGTGAAGGCTGGACAGACACATCGCTCTCGGCCACGTAACTGGTTTGAATCCGCGTGCGGATAACCGGTGAATCTTGTGCAGATTCAGGGTACCAACTCTATGTGGGCTCGCTGATTGTGTCCTGTGCTCTTGTTGTGGATGACTTGGAGCTCCGTTGATTGGTTGAGAAGAACTCGTAGGATCAAGACCGTTAAGTTTCTCAGATTTGTCTGCTGAAGAAACATCATGGCAGGTCTCAGGATGAGACTGCTGTTGTGTCTCAACCACCATGTTGATAGTAGACATTTGAGGTGTGTCTGTTATGTTTCCAAGTTCAGCTTTAGACTGTGTAGATGCGGGCTTTTGCAGGATGCGATTCTCAGGTACGGAAAGAGAAGGCAACCAGATGATAACTCTCTGCTTTCTAACCATGACCCAACTGTCTTCTCCACAGAGATCTGCTTCAAAATTTAGCTTGGAAATACCCAACCCGCTGCTCCGGGAGGCAGTTTTACTCGGAGGCCTGGCAGCCAACTGCTTTGGCTTTTGTTTCGCCATGGAATTGGAACCTAGATACATCAAGGAGAAGATGAATCAACTCTCTCATGTTTTGTCTCGTGGTCGGATAAACATATACCGAAATTTCCCTAATCACGAGGCAGAACACAGCAGCCAAATTGAATCCAAAGTTACAGAGACAGTTTCAGTAATCTCCAGACTAGGAATCACTTAGCAGGCAAAAACCTATACATATTTGCTCGATCGTTAAGGAAACAGGCACAACAATGAAGCGGGTTTTCCACGTTTATACATGAACTCGATTTCAATATCATCAAACCACAGAGTAAGGATTTCCCACAAACCCTAGAACAGTTCATCTCAAGTTCCATAAATCATATTCCTCTAACCTTCATCACGAAAGCAGCATTTGATTTCCATGACAGACCCATTAAAGCTCGTATTCTGCGATTTTCAGAAAAGAAAACTTCTTTCCTCTAATCCGATCACCAGATAACACGAATCTCGTATTCAATCCCAAACTTGTACTGTTCCAACATCAAGCATTTCCTTAGTCAACTAAACAAAGGTTCAAAAAAACTTAGCACGAGACCGAAAAAAAAAGTAAGCGGACCGTAGCAAGCACACAAGATACGAAACCAAATGAAATCTTCCAAAATTTAACCCACTAAACGGATAATCGAAGCTTCAAGAACCAACGCAAAAACCCTAGAATCGCCAATTCTCTTCAGAACAAATGGAGAAATCGAAGAATCTGAAAATAAATATCGAAGCCCGAAATCTGAAATTGGATCGAGTGAGAAGCGATTAAAGGGATGGGAAGAAGGAGACCTTCCTGCGCGTTTCTTGGAGGAGTGATGATGGCGGGATGAACTTTGTCTAGGGGTTTTAACCCTAATAACACACTTGGCTCGCAGCAAGGTACACCACCGAAAAAAAAAAAAATTTGCGATCTTATTACGACTAATATATAACTAATATATAACTAAAATAAGAGTAGTTTATTAGTCGTAATAAGTTGTATATTAGTTATATATTAGTCGTAATAAGGTCGTAAAATTTTTTTTTTTTTCGATGGTGTACACTGAAATTGTTGCGACCCAAGTGGGTTATTTGAGTAATATTTCCCTTTGTCTAGGTGACTTCACTTTATAAACTAACTGTGATTTCACTTGATAAGGAGAGGGAGGAATCCTATGTGGCGTAATGTACAAAAACATTCAAAGACTCGCCAATGGATGAGCTCCATTTCGAGATCTATTCATCATACCGCTGGATTCGGTTATTTTGCTTTGCAAAAATTATACTGGTTTCTAAATAAATTTTGATTTTATTACAATTTTAAAAAAATATAGAAAAAATTGGAAAATTTATTAAAAGTTCATTAAAAAAAAATCTAAAACGGTATCTATCTAATAATAAAAAAATCTAAAAAACGACAATTTTTAAAAAAAACGAAAAGAGTAACATTTTTTTCTTTATATCCAATTTGGTTCGTTTTTATACCTTCTTAGGTCCGTTTATATTAATAAAAATATTTATTTTAAAAAAAAAAAAAAATCGGTTTTTTATATTGTTTTTAATTTGATTTTGATAAATGGTGTTTATATGATTCGGTTAGACTATATGACATTGGGTTCGGGTCATCAAAAGAAGCCCATATCATTTACATTCACTCGCTGGCGAAAGATTCCGGATCTTCACACCCTTCAACCTCTCCATGAACACTACCTGATCATTTGATGAATTCACTTCGACGAAAAAAAAAATCTGTTGAGTGTTGAGAGATCGAACCAGTTTGAATGATTTGAACCAAGTTCAGTCTGGGTTTCTCTTCGTTTTTTGTGTGACAACATTCGATCCGTGCGTCATTTGGGCGTTGAAACAGTTGTAGAAGTACATGAGATGTTTCATGCGTCGGAGCGTGGTTAGCTCTCAGACAAATGAGCATCAGCAGTAGTCTTGTCCTCAACACGCTTCGCCTGAAGCACCCGAAGCTCGCCTTGCTCCAGGCATGCTCTTCCTTCTCTCACCTCAAGATCATCCATGGCTTCCTCATCCGTACCCGCCTCATCTCCGACGTTTTCGTCTCCAGTCGTCTCCTTGCTCTATGCGTCGACTCCACTCTCAAAAGCTCTGACTTGCTGGATTACGCGTACAGGGTGTTCACCCAGATTCGACACCCTAATATTTTCATCTTCAACGCACTCATCCGCGGCTTCTCCTCTGGCGAAGACCCGTCTAGGGTTTTCGGCTTCTATACGCAGATGTTGGAATCTGGTATTTGTTCTGATAACATCACGTTTCCGTTTCTGGTTAAGGCGTGTGCTGAGTTGGGTTCTGTGAGATTGGGAGGGCAAATCCATGCTCATGTTGTTCAATTCGGATTCGAGAATGATGTTTATGTTGAGAATTCGCTTGTTCATATGTACGTTAATTGTGGATCGGTTTCTTCTGCTGATAGGATTTTCAAGCAAATGCAGTTTCGTGACGTGGTCTCTTGGACCTCCATGGTGGCTGGGTACTGCAAGCGCGGGGACATTGACACTGCCCGGAAGATGTTCGATGAAATGCCCGAGAGGAATTTGGTTACTTGGAGTGTGATGATTAATGGGTATGTGAAGAACAACTGCTTCGTCAAAGCCATTGAATTGTTCGAATCCATGAAAAGGAAAGGGATTCAGGCCAATGAGACAGTAATGGTGAGTGTGATTTCCTCATGTGCTCATCTGGGTGGGCTTGAGCTCGGAGAGAAAGCTCATGATTATGTGGTGAAGAACAACCTGACTGTAAATGTAATTCTCGGGACAGCTCTTGTGGATATGTATGCGAGGTGCGGGAACATAGAGAAAGCGATTAGGGTTTTCGAGGAATTGCCCGAGAAAGACAGCTTGAGCTGGACATCTATCATCTCAGGGCTTGCAATGTATGGACATGGCAATGAGGCAATTCATTACTTCTCTGAAATGGTTAGACTCGGGTTTACTCCGAGGGATATCACGTTCACGGCTGTTCTGTCAGCTTGTAGCCATGGGGGATTAGTTGACAGAGGTTTGGAGATATACGAAAGCATGAAACGGGATCACGGGATCGAGCCCAGGCTCGAGCATTATGGTTGCATCGTCGATATGTTGAGCCGAGCTGGGAGATTAGTCGAGGCCGAGAACTTTATCCTCGAAATGCCGGTGAAACCTAATGCCCCGATCTTAGGAGCCTTGCTTGGTGCATGCCGAATTCATCAGAATGCAGAAGTTGCGGAGAGAGTGGGAAACATGTTGATAGAGCTGAAGCCAGAGCACAGTGGCTACTACGTTCTGCTATCGAATATATATGCACGGGCGAAGAAGTGGGAAAATGTCGAGAATTTGCGGGAGACGATGAAGGAGAAGCGAGTTAAGAAACCGCCCGGGTGGAGCTTAATCGAGATTGACGGGAAGATAAACAAGTTCTCCATGGGAGACGATATGCATCCGGAAATGGAGGACATCAAGAGGGAGTGGGAAGAGATTCTGCGAAAGATCAGACCGGTAGGGTACAAAGGAAATACGGATGATGCGTTTTTCGACATAGACGAGGAGGAGAAGGAAAGCGTTCTTCACATGCACAGCGAGAAACTCGCCATTGCGTACGGTATCATGAAGACCGGACCCGATGCCGCGATACGGATAGTAAAGAACTTGCGGGTATGCGAGGACTGCCACACGGCTACGAAACTGATCTCGAAGGTTTACGGTCGAGAGTTCATCGTCAGAGATCGGAACAGATTCCATCGTTTTAGGAATGGGATCTGCTCCTGCGGAGATTACTGGTGAAATTCTCTGATAGATTACGATCACAGCCCCTTAGCAAATGGTTCCAGAAACATTTAGGGTTTCTCTCTTGTTGTTTTGATTCGTTAATGTAAAAACTGAATAAATATATCTAAATTTTTAAAAAAAAATGAATATGAAAATAAATTAAACCGAAATATTCGCATCCAGTTTGTAAGGGCAGCTGCCGTACCAACGGCTGAACTCACTGACCATCCAGTTTACAAGTTGTCTTAAACCCCAACTCCAAGGAGAAAGCTATATATATACACGAATGTATACATACATGAACGTATATATACGTATTTGAATATGCAAACACACATTCTCGAGTCTTTTAGATACACTCTGAAGTGTACATACATTTTCCATCAATCTTATCTATATGCATTATGCAAATAATATAATATGAACAAGTGTATGTTGCGGTATTATGCATATACGTACGTACACGTGTGTGGAGAATCTGAAAGTCCACGTGGAGGGCCTACAACACGATAGAAGTGTACACGTGGCAGATACAAGGTGGGAAGATGAGTCAGAGACTACCACCAGCAGCGATGTTGCTCAAGTGGCCGGTTCGGTTGTTGGAACGTACGTTGTCCCTTCTCTCTTATTATTTTGGTTATATTTAATGGGTTAATAATTAATTAAATTAAATGAATGCTCTTTGCAGATAATGTAATTTTATTTAAAATATCAAAATATTTGTTTTTTTTTATTTTTAAGGATTTATTAAATGTAAAAAAACAGGGTGGGACCAACGGACGAGAAGACTGAAGAGTGAGCGCTCGTAGTCACGTCTCAGTCACGTGTCTTCCTCTCCTTTAGGAGACGGCACCGCCCCCTTTTTATTGTAAAAAAATGAAGGTTTAATTCTTATAAATTGCAAAACCAATATTGTTATTATACACTAATATTATAATGTATTTTTAAAAACCATTTTAAATAAAATTAAATTCATTTAAATTGTATATATTTCACAATTTAATAAAAATAATACTTAATTTAAAGTTTTTTGTTGCATTATTTTGTTTAAATTTATAGATAATTAAAATTTTAATTCGATACTTTAGAAATTTTAGAGAGTTAAAGAGATTTATTATTATTTAAAATAAAAACGAGGGACGTAATGCAAATGCATTATTAGTAATGATGCTTTTCTTGTTAAAAAATCGAAATTAGGATATTTTTACGCTGTCTTAGTGGAGTTTGAATAAAAATGTCAATTCCACCATCGGGTTTAAATACAAGAGGATAGTTTCGATGAAAATGACAAAAGAGATGATGAATACGGTGAAATAATAATATGCTCGATATAGAGATATCAGTGTACATAATATAAATATAACGACAAAAATAATAAAAAATGCTATTTAAAAATAACCGAGAAAAATAAGAAGGAAGAAACTTTTATTTGTTTTGGTACTAAAATTAATTTTCTAAAGAGAAAGCTCCAAAAACCACTTTTACGTAATGCCCTGATTCGTACGTAACGTGAGATTGAACCAAGGCCTCACAATTTTATTTTTGTAAAAAGGCCTCACAATTTTATTTTCGCAAAAAAAAAAAATGTCTGACTTTAATCAGTGCTAATCTCATTAATTAATACACTTCAATGTTATAGAGTTTGTATTCGAATGCAAAATTGATGTGTCGATGGTCACGTTTTTTGTTTGCAAATTGAAGAAAATAATATAAGGTTTCTATATTATTATTTATCAAATTGTTCGAACACATTTACATTTCATTAAATTAATTTGTACAAAGATTACGAGAGGTAACGGGGATATTGCATGTTATTTTCTGTTAGGACGGACTCAATCAAAATTTAGAGGATAAATATACTAAAACGAAAATAAAATTTAGAAAATATGTATAAATAAAAATATTATATAATTTGTAATTAGATATTTTTTTAAGAGAAAAAAAACATATTTTTCCATGTGTATACTCTGGTTACACTTCTTATAAAATACTGGTGCTACCATTAAGAGATTATTAGGAGAGTGGTTTACTCTCCTAAGAGATTTATACCTTTTATTATTATGATCTTTGCATATTTGATAATATATAAATTTATATAAATTAATTACCTAAGAAGTACATGGCCAGATTTATGGTGTACTACCGCTTGGTTAGTACAAGTGGATATTATTTATAATTTGATAGATCGAAAATGATTATATAAATTAACTGATATATATATATATATATATTTATATGTATGAAATGACAGTATGAAATTGTAGGCATAGATATGCATAAGTCACGAAACATGGATAACCCCATGTCGAATTATTGAGAGAGAATTGGACTTGTCGGTTGACAAAACGCCATGGGACGAATTTTTCGTATAAACCCTAAAAATACGAATTATACTGAATCACGAACGTATGAACACGTGTACGGTCAGGATGAAAGGACACTTGCAAGTGTCATCGAAGTGAAATGCTTTAGCTGGAAAACACAGTGTCCGTAAACTATCGCTATTACTTGTCATGTTATAATCATATCCCCTATTGTACGAGTGCACAAATACTTAAAACCCCATTAAAAAAAATAATTGAATAAATAAAATGCGAAATGGCGATGGCGTGATCGTGATTTCTCGCGGAGTTGAGGGTATTTTCGGAATTACAACTTTGCCCCCTCCGTAAATCAGCTATATAAGGAAGGGGTGTTGAACTAGAACATAGAGAGTCAAACTTTTCTTCTCGGTTTCTCTTCTCCTAGGTAAAGTAATTCATCTCCTTAGCAATCATACAATTACGCAAATACGTAATGCATATCACACGTATACACATACACACACACACACACACACGTGTGTATATATATATATGCATATGCTTATGTAAATAGAATAAGAGTTAAGGTTTTTTTTTCTTCATTATTAGAGAGAATTTCGAAGCATGCGCATGGAAAAGTAGTGGATTAATTTTCTTGGGGTTTTGGTACAGAATGCAAACTCCGGCTATATGTATGTGTGTATATTATATATAGTCCTGATATCTATACGTAAACACAGAATCTGAAAGCAAAAAAAATGTCAACTGAGAAGCCACCGACGGGCTCGACCATAGCCCGGACGAGGTCCGACCAGCTCTTGGAGTCACTGGCCGCAGCCTTCAAGTCGTCGTCGTCGTCTCACGGCTCCATGGACATCGCGAACGGGTTGACCGCCGGAGGAACACTGTCGAGGAAGTCTTCCCGGCGGCTTTCTGCGGCGTCTCCAGGGAGGAGCTACGGCGGCGGCGGAGGGAGTCACATAAGAAAAGCGAGGAGTGGGCAGCTCATGAGGGTGGAAGCGGATGAGGTGAGCAACGGAGCGGCGCTTAGCAGAGCGTCGAGCGCGTCGCTAGGGCTATCTTTCTCGTTCACCGGCTTCTCCATGCCGCCGGAGGAGATCTCCGACTCTAAACCCTTCAGCGACGACGAGATGATACGTAAGTACACAGTCTTCTCTTTTGCGAGTGCGGTGGATCTCGTAAGGGTGTTTTGGTAATTTTGAGTAGGGTTGGGGTTATATTTGGGTTTCATTTTTTTATTTTAAAAAGTATTTGTTTTTATTACTTTGAACTAACGAAATATTTATTAGTAAAAAGATAGATAATTTTCTATTCGATTCATTTTTTAGGCTCTCTTCAGTTTTAAAAAGTTATTTTGATTCAATTTTATTTCGAATTCAACTCGAATACAGTTATATATTATACGGTTTTGTTTTTTTTTATAAAACCGAACGAACCCAAATGGGCAGAAAAAAAAAATAGATTGACAAAGGGCATTTTCGTCATTTATGATAGACTCGGTGGCCAATAATGGTGATAACAACGTGGGGGCAAAAATGATTGGTGTGCGTTGCTTTTGCATGAGAGAGGATGCGAGTTGGAGAAATTAAAGGGAGAGGGGCAAACGTTTTTGCCTTTTCAATTAATTTTATTCCACGTGTCCCTCCCTCTCTCTCTCTCCCATGCAACGTTAAACTCACACCGCTAACTTCTCTTTTCAACAATCGAAAAGAGAGGCGAAATATATATATACCTATCACTAATATTGTAATAATAATGATATATGCAACTTTCAAATATAATCACACACTTGCTATAACTTGAATTTAATGGGTATCGGGTCGATCAAATTAATTTTCTCTTCAATATTATATATATAGTTTAAAAACTACTTTTTGATAGATTAACAATACGATACAAAAAAAAATTAAATTAAATACATTAGTTTGATTTTATAAATAATTTATTAATCTAGATTTATATTCATATTTAGCGATTTAAATACGTTACTATTTTAAATAATTTTATTTCATTAGTCTAATTGTTATGAAAAAAAAATGGGATTTTTATTTGGAAACGTGGGGTTTTACGTATTAGATTCTCCAAGTACTCGATGGCTTTGAATAATTTTCAATTTAATAAAAGAGGTCAACATAATTGGACAAAAATGTGTAGGAATAGTCAAATGTTTTGGTTTTAAGTCCAAATTAAGGTGTTTGCATGTGGTTCTATAGTCCAAAAACGGTCCCCGACTTGTGGGGTTAAAACTGTACTACATCGAATAAATTTTTTTTTTGGTAAGTCACATTAAATAAATTTTACATCATGCTTAGTATTTTCTATAATATTGTTAGGTGTATTCACTAACCTAACCGTTTTTATAAAAAAGAATTGTAAAATTAACCTATATATTTCCTAGATAATCAATCTCTTGCATTTTGTGTGCAATATAAAAAAGGTTTGGTGTATACTATCCATGAAATTGATCGTTTAGTTTACAATATAGAAAAACAAATGTAATTAAAACAATATCCATTAAAAAATAATTATTTCCATATAGATTTTATCTTATTTAAACATCCAAAATTTATAAAATGGCCCATATAATATTTATTAGAGCAATGGTGTTACTGCCGTTGCCTCTTCCGGTAGTAAGAAAATGGCATTTATTAGAGTCTAGTAATACTATTTTGGCCTATCGAAATATTTCCTAAAAAATGGGTATTTGATCGTATTTTAGATATGAAATTTTAGAATCTTGAAAGTTTGGATATTAAGACAGACATGGAAATACATAAAATCATGGTACGTGTTTTTAATGTTTTCATAGTGAAACTAATTTACTCTTGCAATTGATATTTGATGTAGCGAAAAACGTACATTATTGTGAATTTTTGCAGACGAGGACATTGAAGCAGGAAACAAACAACCAAAGTTTCAGGCAGAACCAACATTGCCAATCTATCTCAAGGTACCAAACACAACTATAGATTATTACTCTCTCTCTATCTCTCTATCTCTCTCTCTCTCTCCTTGTGTCTGATCCATTTGGTTTCTATGAGAATCACAACGTGAAAGTGATCAAACTGATGATCAGAGCCCATTTTGATTTGGTGTGGGGATTGATTGATCTCTTTTTCAGTACTGATCTTCTCTGTTTGCACAGGCTGTGACCGGAGAGAAATATATGTACATTACCCTATAACGGTTTCCGCGAAAAAACGTAGAACAAACCTCACACATTGGCTCTGATCTCTGATCTCCCTTGTGTTTCATCAGGTTCAAGTCTTGTCCAAAAGAATCTTACTTCCCTTCCTCCCCAAAAGCTGATCATCGCCCTAATTGGTTTCTCTGAGTCTAGTCTTGTGAAACATTGTCGGGAAAGAAGGGGAATGAGAATATAAGTCGAAATGTACATAGTAAACGAGGGTCTTTTCCTCGGTTTCTACTGATTTCTGTTAGATGGGTTTCGAGACTGAAGTGTTGTTTATGTGATGTATTGTTTTCAGTTCAGTGATATTACATACAAAGTAGTGATAAAAGGGATTACTTCCTCTGAAGAGAAGGAGATATTGAACGGGATAAACGGAAGTGTTGTTCCTGGCGAAGTTCTTGCTCTCATGGGACCTTCAGGGAGCGGAAAAACCACGCTTTTGAGTCTGCTCGGAGGGCGGCTACCTCAGCCTTGTGTCGGAGGATCCGTCACTTACAATGACAAGCCTTATTCCAAGTTCTTGAAAAGCAAGTCAGTGAGAAGCTGAAAACAGAGCAGTTAACTCGATTTCTGTGTCAGATCTCTTACATGATACGAGGGAATTGATGTCTTTCCTTTTCGGGTTCCTTGCAGGATAGGATTCGTGACACAAGACGACGTTCTGTTCCCGCATCTCACCGTGAAAGAGACGTTGACTTACGCCGCCCGCTTACGCCTTCCCAAGTCTCTAACGAGGGAGCAGAAGGAGAAACGAGCGCTTGAAGTCATTCGTGAGCTGGGCTTGGAGAGGTAAAAGCCATACAAATTACTGTTCTGATTTCAAATCTGTGACTCTGAATATGAATGCGGATGGATGCAGGTGCCAAGACACTATGATCGGAGGTTCATTCGTGCGCGGAGTTTCCGGCGGAGAGAGGAAGAGAGTCTCTATCGGAAACGAGATCATCATAAACCCGTCATTGCTATTCCTCGACGAACCCACATCTGGTTTGGATTCAACCACTGCTCTAAGAACCATTCAGATGCTACATGACATTGCAGAGGTTTGTTTCAGACATATCTTTTCCGTTATCTGAAAACAAGAATCGGAGTTTCTAACAGGAAGAAGCGGTCGATTGAACTGTTAATACAGGCGGGCAAAACCGTGATCACGACGATACACCAACCATCAAGCAGACTCTTCCACAGATTTGACAAACTGATTCTACTGGGGAAAGGGAGCTTGCTCTACTTTGGGAAAGCATCCGAAGCCATGGTGTATTTCTCTTCCATAGGATGTTCACCCCTCATCGCCATGAACCCCGCGGAGTTCTTGCTCGATCTTGCGAACGGCAACATCAACGACATCTCGATACCTTCCGAGTTAGAGGACAAAGTCCAGGTGGGCAACTCAGGAAGAGAAACCCAAGACGGAAAGCCATCCCCTGCTGTTGTTCACGAGGTAAGAACCCTAATTTCCCCACAATCGAAAACTAGGGTTTGATTGAAATCTGATGCATGGAAACATATACGACAGTACCTGGTGGAGGCATACGAGACGAGAGTGGCGGAAGAGGAGAAGAAGAAGCTGATGGATCCCATACCACTGGACGAGGAGGTGAAGGCGAAGATGATGTGTCCGAAGCGTCAATGGGGGGCGAGCTGGTGGGAACAGTACAGCATGTTGTTCTGCAGAGGAATCAAAGAGCGCCGGCACGATTATTTCAGCTGGTTGAGAATCACGCAAGTCATCTCCACTGCTGTTATCTTAGGGTTACTCTGGTGGCAATCCGATGCTCGCACCCCTAGAGGACTTCAAGACCAGGTAATCAATGGTGGATGTACATTCGGGTATTTGTGATCTCAAACCCTAATTTAAGTATGAAAGTTCGATTTTTTTTCAAAATAAATATGAATCGATTCGGTCGGGTGTTCGAAATTTTCGCATTATCTGAATCCGAACTCGAAATTTCCCGAGTTTTCATGTCATGACCTTCATGCTCGAAATCGATTTGGTCGTCTTATAATCCGACCTCATCTCCTATATGCTGTGCAGGCGGGTTTGCTCTTCTTTATCGCGGTGTTTTGGGGATTTTTCCCCGTCTTCACGGCCATATTCACGTTCCCTCAAGAACGCGCGATGCTGAGCAAGGAGAGGGCGGCGGATATGTACAGATTGAGCGCTTACTTCCTCGCGAGAACCACGAGCGATCTCCCTCTTGACATGATTCTTCCGGTGCTCTTCCTCCTCGTCGTCTACTTCATGGCTGGTCTAAGGCTAAGCCCCGACCCCTTCTTCTTGAGCATGCTCACTGTCTTCCTCTGCATTGTCGCCGCTCAGGTACGGTTATTACACGTTTTGTCGGGAGCAGAGTTTGTTCAAAAACCGTAATATTGATATCGAATATTCGATATTTCCTTCGACAAGGGGCTCGGGTTAGCCATCGGGGCAACACTGATGGACCTAAAGAAAGCTACGACTCTTGCTTCAGTGACTGTCATGACCTTCATGCTCGCCGGTGGATTCTTTGTCAAGGCAAGTTCCCGTTTCGACATGTAAAACCCGTGAAGACGTTCACATACAAGATCGAAGCTTTCTGTTTCTTGATCTCCATTGTTGTTTTTTTCCAAGTGCAGAAAGTTCCGGTTTTCATCTCGTGGATACGTTACATCTCCTTCAATTACCACACCTACAAGCTTCTTCTCAAAGTGCAGTACCAAGACCTTGCCAGATCCATCAATGGCGTCAGAATAGACAACGGGTTGACCGAGGTTGCTGCGCTCGTCGCCATGATCTTCGGGTACCGGTTTCTTGCTTATCTCTCGCTCCGGCGGATGAAGATCGGAACATGACCCTTCATCACATAAAACACATGACAAAAACAGTAAAGTGACAAACAGACAGAAGAGAAACATTGATGAAATCTGGTTCGCGACAAGATTCATCAGATTGGTCCCAAAGTCGCCATTAATGCTTGTGAAGTGTGATGAGTTCATGATCTCTGAAACGGCTCTTCCGGTCGAACGTTTCGGAGTAAACAAAGGAAGACGGAACACAAGAAGCCGAATCCTTTTGATCTGTAGAGAAAGAGAGTGAAATTAAGCATGGTGATGGTTGGGTTTCTTTGATTACAGGATAATATGTGATATTTTACGGAAATATAATACGTGGGTTTTTTTTTCCTAACTATGGGGATTGAAAAGATTTTGTGAAAGGGGTGAATTATAGAAAGTTGATGTAAAATCCCAATCGTTACAGGAACGGTCCAGTATTTCATATAGATGGCACCAAAAAGAAAATATCCATATAAGAGAGAAATGGTGAGTCGAAACCCTTGAATCGCCATTTCTATCATTGTAGATTTTGATTTCGCTTTTTCATTAGAAAAAAATTTCCATTTTATTTATTGGGAATTATTAAACAATGTGTTTTCGGTCCGAGCTTCTCAGAATCACATTCACAACGTGTTAAAACCTTTTATATATATATATATAATCTTCAATTAATGGACATGGGGTTAATAATTAGTCCATAAATAAAGTGGGATTAGTTAAGGTTGGATAAATCCCCTATTCATAAAATAATTGGGTTAGAATTGGTCAAACCTTCGCGGAAATAGATTAAATTATGTTGGACCTCTCTTAAATTCATTTTAATTAATATAGATGTATCTGGGTTTTTTTTTTTAATTTCCTTCAATCATTGTACTACTACCACTACTAAACACGAGATCATTTTCACCTGTAATTTATAATCTCATTTAATAATAATAATAATTGCTTTTATGCGGAACAAACCAAAGCAATAAAGAGTAATTAGGTGCTTAATCACGTCAAGATTAAGACCCCATTGGTTAGAGAAATTTGTACACCAAACTTGTTTAAATTTTCATAAATTCAAAAAGAAAAAAGGGGGACAAAGGCAAATGTGGGTCTAGGGGTCGACATTTCTGCTTTCGAATTGAATTCGTTCAGCTAGCTGTTTAATTCAATTGGATTTCTATTAGATTTCAACTTAAATTCAAATTTTATTAATAAAAATAAAAATACTTATTAAATTTGATTCCATTATAATTATATATTATTTTTTTGATGAAATAATTATATATTAATTTGATTATGCGTAATCAAAGCTAAATACATGGATCCATTTTCTAACACCTCTCTACTAATATCTTGCACCTTTCTATATTTTAAAAATATATCTGTAACATAAACATATTCATGATTTTGATTCTGTAAAAAAAAATATATATATATATATATAATATAATTATATTTAAAATAAAAATAATTTTTTGCACTTTGTAAAATTAAATTGATAAATTTTGAGCAGAATATAGTAAATTTAAATAGATATATTTTTTAGGAAATTAAAAATCTAAAATTAAAAATAATAAATTAAAATCGAAAACATAAGTTTTACCCCTTTAACCATGCACAGATTCAACTGCAATAACTTTTTCCTAATGACATGTTCCTTGCTGCGAGGAACTTGGTTTAAAATAAAATTGATAAGACTTCATTTTTGGATCGATCCATTTATATATAACATTTTAAGGCATAATTAATTTCTTCATGCGATTTATACACCTAAAGTGGCATAAAATATTTAATACATCATTTAACTTCCAAATTAATTTAAAATTTATATATATTATATGAATATTCCACTATATAAAAGTAATAATAAAACCCAGCATATATTTCTTTTTTTAAATAACGATTCGATTTTTTCATGGATCGTTAAGAAAAGTCATTCACTAGAAAATACTGCTAGATTATCATAATTTTAGTTACTATGTTATCGTTAATTTTAAATTATGAATCTATTTATATCCTTATCTGATTTTTTTTTTCCGACAGTGACCAAACAAAATGGTTCTCCGTATTACGGTGAGGAGTTGTGGAACAGCCAAATCGAGAGCCATCATATAAAAAAGTTTATATAAGATATTCAGAATATCCAATTTTAATTTATTTTAATGTTTTATCAACAATCAATGAAATTTTGAATTAGTAATTAAATGTTTTTTTATGAAATATTCTAAAAGCATTGCTAAGATCATATTAAGTATTCTTATAAAAAAAAATAGCATATTATATATATATATATATAAAGAAATAAAGAAAGGAAGAAACACGTATAGTTCTGGTTTGGTCCCATGAAGGAACATCAATTACCTTGCCGTCGTTGGCCACAGCAATTCAAATACGACTTTTTGTAGGGGCACAAACAATTTAAATACGTAGACTTAATATAATCAAATTACCGTATTACATATAATTTTCAAGAGTTCGGCCGTAATTAGTAAGTTATTAGGATATTGTTATAGATTCCGTTTAAAATTAACTGTAGATATAATATAAATATTACATTACAGATTGATATCTCCGTTCAATTATAGAAAAACTACAATGTTAATATATATATATATATATATGTATTTAAATTCTCATATAAAAACTATATATTTGATTATCTATAAATTAAATCAATTTAGAAAATATATATTTATAAATAAAATCGAATTAATTGATACCATAAAATTTGATAGATATTAAGTATTTTTTTTTTCAAAAAATAAAACATGGAAAAAAAATAATGAAACGGAATCCATACATATATATCTATAGATACCCATATTATATATGATTGGACATGAAGATAAAAGTAATGGGTTACAAAAGATAAGATCAAATTGACAAGATATTGATAGAGACAATGAGTTGGCATCTTAATTATAGTTTTTTAGTCTAAGTATTTTTTGGTAGATTCCTCATTCTGTCTGGAATCTGTGTGGTATTGCATGCGCACGATATACGCAGCTGTATACATAAAGTATCAAATGTTAAATTGCATATATATATATATATATATATATATATATATATTCTCGGCCACCAAATGTTTAGTGTGATAAATAAGGTGTTATCATAATAATTTGATGTGATCATCCTCAATTTAACGTTATCACAATAATAATAATAATAATAATAATAATAATAATAATAATAATAATAATAATAATAATAATAATAATAATAATAATAATAATAATAATAATATGAGTGGGTTATAACGAAGTGACAAAAAAGAAGGGTATCTTTTTTTTTGGTTGTCCCTTTGATTTTTCACCTCTCATCGTTTTCTTCTTGGGTTCACTCATTCTCCTCTTTACCTTTCTGTTAAGAGAAGTTGCAGAGACTTTTGAGAGCTGCCATGGCGGCTTCTCCAATCTATAAATACACAATCATGTATGTATGTGTATATATGTCTTTCTCCGCAACAAAAATAGACTAATTATCAAACAAATAATAAAATAATTAGAAAGAAAAGTAAACCATCGTTAGATCTTAAATACGGACAGGTGAGTTCTGTTCCTTTCTCTCTCCCTCTCTCCCTCTCTCTCTGGGATCTCTTGCTTTTGCTTTCTTTCATCAGTTCAGATGATCAAGAACCACGTGCAGAGCTGAGATTCAGGTATCGATCCTTATATATGCATACACTGATACACACACATAAAGTATCTATTAGATCGATGAACTATATATATATATATATGTGTATATATACACTTTGATTTCTGATTATTGCTTGTATTCTTTTCATTGATTAATCTTCATATAGCAAAAGGCTATGTATTTTTCTTAAATTTACGCCGATTAACTTATTTACTTACTGAATCATCGACATCAATATATGTCTATATCTCTTGCTGCAAAATATGCCACTGTCAATCAATATATGTGCGCATATATATAGCCCCATTCGCGTTTTTACGCAAAAAAAACATTATTATATAAAAATATATAATAAACTGTACAATATACAATGATTTGGTCCTTTATATAGAAAAACGTTTCTGCTTTTGTATGCAAATTTCCATATCAAATTAATTTTAGGTCATTCTTTTGAAAATGGACAACACGATAAATTATTTATATTTGTCGTGAATATCGTTTCTGCATAATTTTTTTTCGATACTATAACATTTAAATTAGATATTTATTAAGTTTTCCAACAACAACATGAATGTGGATGTTGATATAACCCCATTTTTAATCCATCTTATACTGACTCGTGAGTATTATTTTGGTAAAATATATCCACATTTCATTAAAAAAAAGGTAACGTGTGTATATATTTAATCAAAAGAAATATTCGACCGTTCCCCTAAACTTTATTTTTTATAATTAATTTCAGCAAAAAGCTTTTAATATTTATAATATATATATATATATATATATCCTAATGGAAAATAAATAAATAACTCTAATAAATTTTTTTAGATCAATCCTTACATGTACACATTTTTATAAATCATTTATATTTAAAAAATAAATAAAGAACTCTAATCGGTAATTTCTACGTTTCGTTGACATTACGAATTTACTGATATTCTAAAAATAAAACGAAGATGAAATAATTTTTTAAAATCAAAACTTTATTTAGAACTCTTTTCAAAATGACGAAAAGACTATTTAAAATTAAAATCGAATAATAATAATAATATACATTTTTTTTAAAGGGTAAAGGCATTTAAGTAGGTGTCTTCGAGGTCCCATCGAAGGAAGAAAAAAAAAAGTTAGGTGTAGCACGGTGGTTGGTTTTGTGTGTTCCCTCGCCAATTTAATAGCTTTATCTTTAAACTCCAGCATCCAACCACAAAAAAATAAATAATAATTATATTTAAAATCAGCCGCAAGACAGAATAAACCTCTGGACTACTCTTCGCAACCTTAGTGCTTACCCTCCCCTTGTAAGATCTCCTTGGCTAGTGGTGGGAGATTTTTA